TTACACTCATCGACTGAGTAAACGAGTCACACTCAACGAGTGAATAAACGAGTCACACTCAACGAGTGAATAAACGAGTCACACTCAACGAGTGAATAAACGAGTCACACTCAACGAGTGAATAAACGAGTCACACTCAACGAGTGAGTAAACGAGTCACACTCAACGAGTAAGTAAACGAGTCACATTCAACGAGTGAGTAAACGAGTTACACTCATCGAGTGAGTAAACGAGTCACACTCAACGAGTGAATAAACGAGTCACACTCAACGAGTGAGTAAACGAGTCACACTCAACGATTAAGTAAACGAGTCACACTCAACGAGTAAGTAAACGAGTCACACTCAACGAGTAAGTAAACGAGTCACACTCAACGAGTAAGTGAACGAGTCACACTCAACGAGTGAGTAAACGAGTCACACTCAACGAGTGAGTAAACGAGTCACACTCAACGAGTGAGTAAACGAGTCACACTCAACGAGTGAGTAAACGAGTCACACTCAACGAGTGAATAAACGAGTCACACTCAACGAGTGAGTAAACGAGTCACACTCAACGAGTGAGTAAACGAGTCACACTCAACGAGTGAGTAAACGAGTCACACTCAGCGAGTGAGTAAACGAGTCACACTCAACGAGTGAGTAAACGAGTCACACTCAACGAGTGAGTAAACGAGTCACACTCAACGAGTCAGTCAATAAAGTTATCACGTTTTTTTCCAAACCTGATCTCAGTAAGTGATTCATCCAACTTTTCAGATCCTGGAGATGGAGAGGATTAAGAGTGCTGTTCTCTCTGTTGCAGTGCTGTTCTGTCTGTTGCAGTGCTGTTCTGTCTGTTGCAGTGCTGTTCTGTCTGTTGCAGTAACTGTCAGTGTTGCTAACCTTCCTGGTGGTTCCTGCAGTAACTGTCAGTGTTGCTAACCTTCCTGGTGGTTCCTGCAGTAACTGTCAGTGTTGCTAACCTTCCTGGTGGTTCCTGCAATAACTGTCAGTGTTGCTAACCTTCCTGGTGGTTCCTGCAGTAACTGTCAGTGTTGCTAACCTTCCTGGTGGTTCCTGCAGTAACTGTCAGTGTTGCTAACCTTCCTGGTGGTTCCTGCAGTAACTTTCATTGTTCACAAGACTTTTGGTAGTTCCTCCCGAGACTATCCCTAGCTTGGCACCAGTTAATTAATCCATATAAAACCTGTCTTGGTTATCTCTGAAGGCTACAATAAACGTGTTGTGGATTATATCTGAAGAATCTAAATGATTCTATGGTGATGTTCAACGTGCCCAGGCTGGGTGCAGTTTTCCCTACCAAACAAGAGAATCGCCGAATTTGTGCCAGTTTGAGAAGCATTTTTGAAAAATACTGTTATCCGACGGCTCGATTAAGGTTAAAAGTGGAAGAATGAAGCCACTGACAGGGAAGTGAAGTTATAAGATGTGACTGTGGATGACTGTCTCTCTCTGACTGTGTCAGTGGCTACGTTTATATTCAACATGGTGTTACTTATACGTTTTCACCATTAGCTGTCCTGTCCTTCTCGTGCTGCTTCACTCTCCACTGTTAACTCTGCAATGTATTCAAAGTTCAGGACCACATAATCATTAGCGTCGGGGACCTTTCTTATGGAATATTCCCAATATCAGAACTGCTAAAGGTGAATACTAGGTCCAGCCTTGCTGATTCGTCTTTACCTATCTCTCTCTCTCTCTCTTTCTCTCTTTCTCTCTTTCTCTCTCTCTCTCTCTCTCTCTCTCTCTCTCTCTCTCTCTCTCTCTCTCTCTCTCTCTCTCTCTCTCTCTCTCTCCTCTCTCTCTCTCTCTCTCTCTCTCTCTCTCTCTCTCTCTCTCTCTGGTAGTGTCCCTAACATGTTGATGCATAAGGTTTTCCAGCACACCGTCCAACACCTTAGCCCTCCACGTTTGTGGTCCCTCATGTGGTTCCAGGTTTTCCCAGTCGAAATTGTGGTAGAAATCCCTACCCTCTGTGTGTGTGTGTGTGTGTGTGTGTGTGTGTGTGTGTGTGTGTGTGTGTGTGTGTGTGTGTGTGTGTGTGTGTGTGTGTGTGTGTGTGTGTGTGTGTGTGTGTGTGTATGTGTGTGTGTGTGTGTGTGCGTGTGTGTGTGTGTGTGTATGTGTGTGTGTGTGTGTGTGTGTGTGTGTGTGTGTGTGTGTGTGTGTGTGTGTGTGTGTGTGTGTGTGTGTGTGTGTGTGTGTGTGTGTGTGTGTGGTGTATGTGCGTGTGTGTGTGTGTGTATCTATGTTTGCGACGTGTCCGTGCAAGCATGTAAATTTTCTTATAATTCACTAGAGTTTAGTCACCAGACACTGCTGAGGTAATTGGTTCACATGAACAGACCTTCCTGGATTTCCTTCTCTATTTCTGCAGCATTGCAAGTTCCTAATGATGTGTTGATTGCACCACGAAAAGCCTAGAGCTATCATTCAATTCCCCTCCCCTATGGTTGTTTTGCATCAGGTATCATGTGTTTACACATGACGTCACGGGGCCAGCATCCGGCATCTGATGAAGGTCGTCAGTGATGCTGTTTACTTTTCTTAAGTCACAACAGACCAGTGTTTATTTGAAGCATAATACTGTACATTATTACGAATAATAATAAATTGTACAAATTTAATGTTTATGCAAAAATTCTGAAGAAGTTATATATGATGGTATAGTATTTGCAAGTTTATCTTGTGAGCGGCAGCTTAAACAAAAGGATTACGGAGGTTACGAAGAGTCTATGTCAGACCTCACTTGATATCATTAAACTATAACAGTAATTTCGCATATTACAATCTCATTTGACAACTAATCATCTACACAGTGTGACATGTAAATCTTGTAAATTACCAATGTTGAAGAGCTGGATGCATGGGCAACATCTGGGTATCTTTATTTGTAGACGTTTCGCCATCCAGTGGCTTTACCAGTACAAATTCAAGGACATAATGGGAGGACTGAAGAACTGTATACAGATGACCGGGTAATCTTCCTGCCTGTGCTTCAGAGTCGACAAGACAACGGTGCTCACTATCAACTCCGAGGACTGATTATCTCGTCTTTTTGTAAACAACCACTGGATGGCGACAGTCTACAAATAACGATACCCAGATTTTGCACGTGTCTAATTCCTCCTCTTGTCGGTATTGTATAATATGCATATTCAAAATTACCATTATCACTACAAACACTGGTCACTTACTTTATTAAAAGCTCGTCCAGTACATTCGTCTAGCGGCTAGACACTTGGCACCGACTAGACTCACTAGACTCCAGCCATTGCGGAGTGTGGATACAGTCTCGAGATTTCAATCATCTAATCATGACTCACGAAATCGTAATTAGACGGTTGCAAACAAAGCATACTACGGGTGGGGTTAGAACCCGCGATCCGAGTCTCAAAACTCCAGTGGCTAACGGTCGGTCTAGAGTTTTGAGACTGATCGCGGGTTCTAACCCCGTCCGTGGCATGGTTTATCTAATAATTAACAATATATTTCTTGTATTTCTTCCGTGGAAGTGTCGCTAAATGGCTGGATGTTTGACACACTAAAATATACTCCAAAGTAAGACTTCTGTCTCTGTTTATACACTTTACACTTTACTCCATACAAAATGAACTGCCAGAGATACTTATAAGTCTAACCTGAGTCCAGTAGTGATACTTCTTAAAGTCTATTGATGTTGTTACTTTCTCCTCAGAGATGTACTTGACACATCTCACTATGAAGAACAGTAAATATGTTAATTACCATCTGTACTATTCTACTTAAGTAACTTTGCCAGATCTTTCCTAACAATGGTTTTCAAATTTGCGTTTGAGAAACTAAAGTAATATTGGGCGTTTTCATTATTTATTGTTAATTTAGGCTTGTGACTTTAAACTCTGCAGAAGCCTTCAATATTTGCAACTCTCATAAAACAACATATAACATTAATTGAAGGAACCAGCTTGGGACAAGTTTTGCAATAAACGTTGTTTACAAAACTTTCCTTGATTGCATCCATTACTTTCATTATTTTTTTCCTGTTTTAGCGTTTTATGACTTTGGGGAAGTCAGGCGTTGGTTCGGGATGTCATAAAAATTAGATGCAGAAACACTCTGATGTCACCCATTAAAATTCTCGGAAATGGCTAGAAAATGGTATATATATATCAAAATTCCTCCTGACCGGGTTTATATTTTGAACGTTTTCTATGACCATTGAAATATTGAACTATATACATCCGGATCACATAAATTTAAGTATCACATGACCATCCTAAGTTCCATGTAAAGTATTATTCCTCATTTTTTTTTTTTGGGTGGAGGGGGGACTCACGGAAGGGGGGAATGCACATTAACTTCTCATAGTTATCTAGTTATATTCTCAAGTTAAAAGTGAAAACCTTAGAGAAAGACAAAAATACAGTCAAATATTCAGGCAATCACCTAGAGGTATCCCTGCAGGTATCCCTGCAGGGATACCTCTAGGGATACCACCTAGGGTATCCCTGCTGGTAGCCCTGCAGGGATCCCTTCAGGATACCTCTAGGGATACCACCTCTAGGTATACCACCTCTAGGGATACCCCCGTGGTATCCCTGCAGGGATACCTAATAATATACATATAAGAAGCTTGCAATGCTCTATATACCTCTGAAGATGCCACGGAAATAAGACCACAAAACTAGGAAAACATTAATAAGGATAAATAAGGCACTAGAAGCATCTGCAACTAATATATAAACACAGGAATAAAGGCTTGAAGAAAACATTAATAGAATCACAAACATGAGGGAAAATAGAAAAGAGTGTGTTAAAGCGTAGGAATAAAGTGAGGGACACACTAATAGAAATGTAAAAAAAAAAACAATACATGGAACGTTTTCTGAAATGGTTTATAAAACACCAGCAAACGAGAGACATAGAAAAAGAAGCAATGAGAGTGAGTGGAAGTTGAGGCTGCAGAAAGAAACGTAACTCGCAAGATGTGGGAAAAATCGTGGCCAGGTGCCTTACTTCTCAGCGAAGGGGCGTCGGTTGAGGTGCTGGTCCCCTACCACCTCCCCTGCTTTCTCCCCTTGTGGCTGCTGCTGCTGCTGTTCCTGCTGCTGTGGCTGTTGCTGCTGCTGTTGTGGTGGCTGTTGCTGTGGCTGTGGCTGTTGTGGTTGTTGTTGCTGCTGCTGCTGTTGTTGTTGTTGCTCCTGCTGCTGCTGCTGCTGCTGCTGCTGCTGTTTTGACCCATATTCAGACTTCTCATTATCATCGTCCTCATCCTCCAGCAGGTATTCCTCGTCTTCCTCTTCGTCGTAGTACTCGTCATCTTCGTCATCGTCATCGTCATTGTCATCGTCATCATAGTCATCAAGGGCGTCCCATGATTTTGGGAGGTCCTCGTAGGAGGCTGAGGCAGCGTCCTTCAGGGGGACGATCTTGTCCCTGTGGAGGAACAATAGTGAATATTAGAACACACACGCACTTGTAGGCCTATATAGGCTTAAAACTACTATTTTAGAAAATTTTCATCATTAATATGCTAGAATAGCTTGGAGCCTTTTTTTTGACCTTAAATAGCATAGAGCCTTTTATCTTAATTAAATAAAGCCTTTTCATCCTAGAATGGCTTATATGACTTTGTTATTCCATAACCTGTGCGTAACATGTGTAAAACGTTGTACAGAACATAAACGAACATTCTTGGCATGTTCCAGGAGCAAGAACTTAACACGGAACACCGTAACACGGAACACAGTAACACGGAACACAGTAACACGGAACACCGTAACACGGAACACAGTAACACGGAACACAGTAACACGGAACACAGTAACACGGAACACAGTAACACGGAACACCGTAACACGGAACACAGTAACACGGAACACAGTAACACGGAACACAGTAACACGGAACACCGTAACACGGAACACAGTAACACGGAACACCGTAACACGGAACACAGTAACACGGAACACCGTTTAACGGAACACCGTAACACGGAACACAGTAACACGGAACACAGTAACACGGAACACGACTCTCACTCTCCCATACAGAAGTAATTACAACATAGACTGAGCAATTAAGGTTGTATCATTGTAGATATTTCTTTCTGTGTATATTGACCGACGAGAAGAATGTGTGGATGGTGCCTCTGAAGGTCGTTCTGTTGTGGAGAATGTGTAGGTTGACTCGTTCTGTTTTGGAGAATGTGTAGGTCGGCCCTTTTTGTTGTGAAGAACGTGTGAGTCTACCCGTTCTGTTGTGGAGAATGTGTAGGTAGACTCAAGAAAATAAATATTCTCAACTGGTCTAAGAGAAACTTTTAAAACTAAGTTCATTACGTGGTCAGTATAACCATGTATACACAACATGTATACACAGTATGTATACACAGCATGTATACACAGTATGTATACACAGCATGTATACACAGGTGTGTTTACAGACGTAAGAGGCTTTACAAATATTAGTAAAACTTCCGACAGTGTGCTTGATAAGAGGCCACAAGAGCAACTAATAAAACGTTTACAACCGCTACGTTTTGCTCCTGATGAGCGAAACTTGGCCATAACGTCCTCTTGGAATTATTATGATAATGATTCGAAGTACTGGGCAACACAAGGAGCGTCGGAGTACTGGACAACACAAGGAGCGTCGGAGTACTGGACAACACAAGGAGCGTCGGAGTACTAGGCAACACAAGGAGCGTCGGAGTACTAGGCAACACAAGGAGCGTCGGAGTACTAGGCAACACAAGGAGCGTCGGAGTACTAGGCAACACAAGGAGCGTCGGAGTACTAGGCAACACAAGGAGCGTCGGAGTACTAGGCAACACAAGGAGCGTCGGAGTACTAGACAACACAAGGAGCGTCGGAGTACTGGACAACACAAGGAGCGTCGGAGTACTAGACAACACAAGGAGCGTCGGAGTACTGGACAACACAAGGAGCGTCGGAGTACTGGACAACACAAGGAGCGTCGGAGTACTGGACAACACAAGGAGCGTAGGAGTAAGAGATGCAGTGAGAAACGTCTGGTTGGATGATACAAGAAATGGATACGAAGTGTATAGAGGCAAAAGGAAGAGTCTTACCAAGAACAATGAAAATAAATATGAAACCAGTGGGAGATAATAAAATAAAAAAGTGACAGAACAGAGAAATGAGCAAGAACGAATGTGTGAGACTAGAAAGAGAAACTGAGAGACATTTCCAAAATGTTCTAGACAGAACAGAAGCCAAGTTAGTTATTATATACGCATATAAGAAAGAGGAGATGGCTCTAAAGGGACAAGTAACATGGCCAAAAGAGCACTGGCGAAGGATGTCAATAAAGTCTGCGTAGGAATGGAACATCGACCCTCAGCCTCTGGTCGCTCTGAATTACTCACGTGGTAAAGCAACACATCGTCGAAGCATTTAAGAAACTTCCTCACGTACTGTTTGTAGCACTTTTCTTACTTAGGTTCGATTAAAATAAGATTCCTTCGGATTTTTAACCCGGGATAGGGAGGGTTAGCCACCCAGGGTAACCCCAAGAAGATCAGTGTGTCATTGAACATAAGAACATAAGAAAGGAGGAACACTGCAGCAGGCCTGTCTGAAGACTGTCTGTGTTGTTTCAACTGGAGTCCTTAAATCTTGTCTCCCAGGATGTCACCCACACGAGTCGACAAACACCCAGGTACCTACTTACTGCTAGGTGAACAGGGACAACAGGTGTGAGGAAATATGCCCAACATTTCCACCCGTGTCAGGGATCGAACCACGGACACTCAGTGTGTGAAGCTACAGCGTTGCCTCTATCCATAAAAAAATTATGATATACCACAACAGAAAACGGAGAGCCACTGTTGGAAGTGCTTCAACAGTCACCCACTTGACTGTTTTACAACAGCGGTTAACAGGAGGCGCTACGAATTTAGCATTTTACATAAATTAATCCGACCCTTATACCAACCAGCGTCAGTTACGTTATAAATCTTTTCGACCTCCAAGTTTTGCGTTTATCTATCTTTTTTAATTTTTGTAAAATAATATTTGATTTAGAGTGAGTACAAGTACTGATGTATTTTCAAATTTCTGTACTGCCTTCATTTGTACGGCAACAGAGTACAGTTGCTGAGTACTGATTGCACAGAAGGTACAATCTTCACCTATGGAATAGCGTTTGTCTTCGGGAAGTTCAAAATCTAATAGTTAAGGGTTATAATGGGTGACCAAAGGTGAGGAGTTATAATGGTAACCAATGGTGAAGAGTTATAATGGGTGACCAAAGTTGAAGATTTATAATGGTGATCAATGGTGAAGAGTTATAATGGTAACCAATGGTGAAAAGTTATAAGAGTAACCAATGGTGAAGAGTTATAATGGTGACCAATAGTGAGGAGTTATAATGGGTGACCAAAGTTGAAGAATTATAATGGTGATCAATGGTGAAGAGTTATAATGGTAACCAATGGTGAAAAGTTATAAGAGTGACCAATGGTGAAGAGTTATAATGGTGACCAATGGTGAAGAGTTATAATGATGATCAATGGTGAAGAGTTATAATGGTGATCAATGGTGAAGAGTTATAATGGTGATCAATGGTGAAGAGTTATAATGGTGATCAATGGTGAAGAGTTATAATGGTGATCAATGGTGAAGAGTTTTAAGAGTGACCAATGGTGAAGAGTTATAAGAGTGACCAATGGTGAAGAGTTATAATGGTAACCAATGGTGAAGAGTTATAAGAGTGACCAATGGTGAAGAGTTAGTCTCCGGCAGCTTCTCTTCACACGACTCTCTTCTCACTGTGAATCAAGTGGTTCCTGCATATATAAAGTCAGGCTGGGACAAAGACACACTTGCTCTCTGAGAGTAATCTAGATGCCTTGAATAATTATTAAAACACAGTTACATAAACCCGTCACAAAGCTGGATTTGTACATATGTATTTATAATATTTTTTTACATATGTTTTTAAGGACAAATTAGCTAAATTAAACCAATTATGACATGAATTTTCTCTCTCTAAATAAATGCAGAAGAAAGAGAGAGAGAGAGAGAGAAAGTGAGAGAGGAGAGAGAGAGAGAGAGAGAGAGAGAGAGAGAGAGAGAGAGAGAGAGAGAGAGAGAGAGAGAGAGAGAGAGAGAGAGAGAGAGAGAAGAGAGAGAGAGAGAGAGAGAGAGAGAGAGAGACAGACAGACAGACAGACAGACAGACAGACAGACAGCAGACAGACAGACAGACAGACAGACAGACAGACAGACAGACAGACAAAGTGTACGTGTTGAGGGTCGTACAGATAACAGGCAGCCACAGGCAAGGCAAAGTTATTCCAAGACTGTAGGCAGACTGAGTGGAACATCCAATGGGTGTCTGGCGTCGCATCACTGAAGGTCGGCTGCAGATCCACAAGTGGTGACTGGAAGTGTACAGCTCTGCATTCTTGCCAGGTGGCCCTCGCCTGTTACCAGCTGGTGCCTCCGGCACTCCAGTCTAAATACACAATTTTGCTGAGCTTTGCTCTGTAAATTCTGGGGAACTATTCTGGGCAAGCTTCTTCCTGTCATGATAAGATTATTTTTTTTTCTCTGTGGCTATAATATTATCTTTGCTACCAGTGGAATTGCTGATGTGCGTCAGACGATTCAGTGGCTCGGAAGTGGGTGATCGGCGCCTTCATGTCATTGTCTTCGAGGGCAGTCATAACTACCACTTAAATGACACCGACAGTATATTTAAGAAGTGCAACATGCATATTCATATCTGGCTTTGCCAAGGTTGTAAGTTGTTAAGTTGATAAATTGTAAATTGATAAGCAGCAGTTAGAAGAACTCTGTGCATCACGTTCTCCGCCAGATCTAGGACGGCCTGGTGATGAAGAGGCTGGAGTTAGGGAAGCCTAATGGAGAACATACTTGTCATTAGTTATCTGAAGCAGTGCCGTGACGTCGTTTCCCAGTGATTGTTCGAGCATGAGGACATATTCAGCTCCTGAATACCGGTGTGGTGGCAATTTGGAGGATCAAGAGGAAGGTGGATGGTGCTCTGGTCAACACTTAATTCAGTGATGCTCATCTTTACATACAACACTTTACCACTACGTAGATCTTGGGTGGAAAGACCTGCATGTAAAAACCAGAATCGAGTGTCAGAAGTTTGGCCAATAGACAACCAAGTGTAAGGCAACTCAAGACACTTGTGTTGTGTACGACAACAACTTCGTCAGTGCCCACCCTTGCACTGGAGTGTTGCAATATCACAACAATGGGGAAACCCTACAAAACTAATGGCACGACACGTGAGCTACACATGAGAGAGTGTGTTGCTCTGTATGTATGAAAGAGATGATTTTGCAGAGGTCAGGAGGAGAGAATACCCCATGCAACCTGGCCTACCCCTCACTCTGTAACTCTTCCTGCCCAGGTGTTCAGGGGTTGGTGGGGCTCCTCTGAAGGAAGGTCCCACAGGG